AAAAATCAGGTGATTACTGGACGATCCCTAATAATGTAGAAATGTGAACATTGTAGTGTTTAATACGTGGTACTATTTCTTGGTGCAAATACCGCGGCTATCTGGTAACACTAAACGACCTTGCACACACGTACACACACACACACACACACACAAGAAGCGCGCGCGCGGGCGCGATCAGAATGTTATTGACCGATGGGATGACAGTACAATTTGCTACCTATCTACGTATCCGTGTCAGTGTAATCGATGAAAAAGAAAGGAAAATGAAAACTGCTTGAAAGTGAGTGCGGAAAGAGCGGATGCCACAACTATAACCTCATACCTTAGATAAATTATTTACAATTGCTTACATTTATATTTCTATACTTAACTAATAACTCTTAAATGTATGATAAATATTAAATAAAATATTAAAAACGAATAACTAATTAAAATATATTATTGAAAAGAGTCCCTTTAGGCAAGGTTCCGAAGATACTGGCAGCGTTCCCTCTTCGAATAGCTATACTAATTCTTTGTCCGAGGTAGCTGCCAGCTGTTCGGTCCCATGTGATGTCGACTAACAAGTTCCGATTCCTCTAAGCTTTATACTTTATTTTACGTAGTATGTACATCGTAGAATCTGGTGGCAGCTTGCTTAGACCGAGTGCATTAGTAGGTAGATAGGTATAGTACAAATTAAATATATTTTTGAAATGTTGGTTTTGACGGTGATCTGCAGTCAGTACTATAAATAAATTACAGCATTTAAATAATTCATACACGATTAAATATTGAAATCCCCGCTGGATTACAACTGGATTAACGTTTACTCACACTGGAACCGGCACAGCGCTTCCAGTGTAAGTTTACATTTTTCCACTTGTAATCCATGGCTGATTTCGATCGCGGGACTGGAATGATGTAAATCAGTCATTAAATCACTGCCTATAATGTAGAGTTGATTACGTTTGTCTAGGTATGATGATATTCAAGTCATGTCCAAATATGATCAGCGGCGGAGGGGCGGCGGGGAGGCGGAGCGGCGGGGCGGCAGCCCACTTCGGCACCGTCATCATGAACAAACATTGTCAAAAATAAAACTGCAATACTTGCTGCCGTATGATGATGCGGCACGAACAGAAGTTTGAGGAAGTTAGAAAATGCTGGAAATATTTCAAAGTATAACAGATCCCACGTGTATCTTCCTGATCGGTACAAGATAACATCAAATCAGTTACAACATGTCCGGACTTTATCCAATGAACACTGAACCATCGTTGTTGCAGGCTGGTACATGGAGCTGGCGAGTGGAGAGCAACACTACATACAGTAGCGCGGCAGTGGCGGTCAAAAATTATTTCGAATATATTTTTTACAAGCTTGCGCAAGGCTAAAGAAGACAATTGCTGACACACGGACAGCTGCACGCAAACGTGTGTTAATAACGTATATGTACTATATAACGACATGAATGTAATAATGACGTGTAGATTTTAGATAACCGAAGTGTTATCTGCGCGCGTGGTGGGGCGGAGGTGGCGGTATGCCCGCCGCGACACCGCGCGCCAGCCGCAGTGACCGCACAGCCGCCGGGTGAGACGCTCGCCGCTCGCGACACAACATGGAGACCAAGAAGTTCACCAGGAAGGAGATCGCCGAGAGGGACACCAAAGCGGAGACGGTGTTCGTAATAGCCAACAAAGTGTACGATGTAACCAAGTTCGTCGACGACCACCCCGGCGGACATGAGATCCTGGTAAACGTGGCCGGCAAGGACGCCTCGGAGCAGTTTGAGGATGCCGGCCACAGCCTGGACGCCAAGGAGCTGATGCAGAAGTACTACATCGGGGAGCTGGTGGAGCAAGACAAGCGGCAGGTGATCGACCGCAACGTGAACTGGAACCTGCCGCCGCTGCCCGAGGAATCCGCGAGCGGCTTCTTCTCCTCTTGGAAGTTCCCCGCCGCACTGGGCCTGGTGCTCACCCTTCTCTACACCTATCTCTTCGGATAAATTTTACGTTTAAAGATTTTGTTCGGGCGGGATCGAGTGTGTGATTGTTTTGGTAGGCGGCTGGACCGGTTCTCCGGCCGCCGGTCCCCGCCTTGCGTGTAGTTGCGCTTGCGCGTTGAGGACGAACGAGTGCTTTTTTATCTAACTAAGTATTGTTTGTTAATGTTTTATACCTACCGATGTTACGTAAGCGATAATAAAGGTAATTTGGTTACTTTACTTTTGCGTGTTAATAATTCTCATTATTTATGTTATATTTAAATTATAATATCAGTATCTGTTGTTTGCGATACAAGTCAAGGTTAATTTAAACGTGTGACTGCTTTTACGGTTTTGGTATAAGCGTTCTGGGTTGGTCCAGCATTGTCTTACTCGGCTAGGGCGCCAGTGTCTGACACTGGTGGACAAACACAGACCATACCATACTGTTCTTGTATGCCAGTTATTTCTGTGGTATCTATCAGCAAAGGTCCCAGCTTGTGTAAATTGTTTTGTTATAGAAAATTTGCTCTACCAAAACACTTGTACTTTGTACATAAGTTACACATCTAATGTCGTGTACATCTCTATGTATACATACGTATATAAACTAATTGACGAACTGACATATTAAGGCCCAACAACTGATATATTGAGATCACTTTCTACTGCTTATAATGAACGTGTTTTGGTTTTCGAATCTTAAGTAAAGGTCAAATATGAGAGTTGAAAGTTTGTGTTAGACTTTGAAAACCCACTCGGACGAAGTCAAAAGAAACAGCTAGTATATCCTGAGTTATTTCTTTGATGCAGTTTGACCTCCGCGCCCGCGCTAACGTCCGAGGCTCCTCTGATTTGAGCAAATACTCGTACATGTATGAGTATGCGGCGCGAGCACGACCCAGTAGTGCGCGAGGAGGCGCGCTTATATTCAAGGCGATCACTCTTCAAATAAATAGTCTCTGCTCTCTGCTCTCTGATCGTCCACTCATCGCAATATCTACATGTATAATACTTGTAAAATCGAACGATTTATCAACAAGTTATTGTTAAATCCGGGAAGCAAAGTGACATAGGTATAACATATATCTATAACATTTATCACCAACACAATAATCTAAAAAAGTATTTATATATTACCATGTATACTTCAGATACATCGTAAATATCAATAAACCCTTGATTAATTATATTTTTTTAAGATTATTTTATTTTTGTCATTTTTTAAAGGAATAAATATAATTTGATTTGTAATTTAAAAAATAAAATTACCTACGCAGAAAACAATTTTAAATGTCAATCGATTATTTATCGTCATTTATCGTATGTTTGAATATTATCTTAGCATTTATAAGCTCTTGCTCGCGACTTCGTCGGCATCAGCTCAGCTACCTCTCCACTAGAAGCTAGATACAGTTGTTCGCACGGAGCTGAAGCTGAGCTGAGCTTTTATTTGGTCAATAAAGGAAAGGATTTTTAATATTTATTTATTTATTTACATGGAAAACTTACAGCTATAATAATCTTATTAACTATAGACTAGACAACTGAGAGCCAATGACAAGTCTTCACTTATAACAATATTATATCTTTAATGAGCAAACAAACAAACAAACAAATATCGCAACTATTAAACTATAGTAATATATAACAATGTAGTTAAAAACTAAATTATATTAGTAGTAGCAGTTCACGTATATATTTTATTTGAAAAAGTCTAGTGCTAGGCATATTACTAATGCAAATGTATGCATGTTAGAAGATATCTCCAGAACGGCTGCATGGATCTCGCCGAAAGATATCGATGTAGAACATAGCGTACACACGATGCGGAACATTAACTTTCACGTGCATACAATGGCGTTCTCAAGATTGACACCAATTCTAATCTCTACGACAGTCTTACCAATATAATATACACAAGTCCTTCTTAGCTTTAGTAGTAGCAAGTTGTTAGTACAAGTGCAATTTAATGAACGATATTTATTCAAGCAGTTTTTTACAAATTGATTTAAACAACGTCGATGTCGATTTGAAACAGACTACATATGTAAATAATGCACAGTCATATGATGATGCTGACTCATACACAAATACATATTGCGCGAAACAAAGATCATCGGATAAGGATTTTATTAAATTCTAGAACATTACGAATTAATAATTATCTACCTACACGTCTTTAAGTCGGGAATTGGCAATGTAATCACATGACCGGACATTGCACGAGCTAACACTAGCTGTCCACCGCCCAGCGCCCAGCGCCCACCGCCCAGTACCTAGGGCCCACGCTATGACATAACTTGCCCAGATAAATGTTGAATGAATATTCAGCGTTTCACGACATGAGAATCTAAACGCATGTTCACTTTTAATATTATAACCAAAAATAACCATATCATAAAAAATACTGTTTCCTGATTTTACTTATTTCTTATTAAAATTCAAATGTTTTCTAATATAGTTGCTGAACTGATTGTTTCTGGCTATGCCTTATTAAGCCTTGTAGTGGATATATTTTGATGCTGAAACCCTTCGTCGAGTTTCCTGAAAATTGTTAATCACACAATATTCGAATTGATTTATTGACCAAATAGGTGCAAATAAATACGTGTTTTAAAGTACAACAAAGGTCAATGGGCAAATGGTACGGGGAAAAACCCACGGCGGACAGAAATTTAATTTTGAGGGTATGTAGAAAAATGTAAATCGTTTATCATGGTAAGAATCGCTTTGTTGTGGGTAGTAGGTTATCCGAAAAAAACCGTTTTCATAACAGACCTCATTAGGCGTGTTGTGTATGTAGTATGTTGTGATTTCCCCCAAAAATGCCACAAGGACTTCAATTTTTTCTTGGTGCCTAGCCCTAATGGCATAAATGTAACTCTATGTCTGTTTACCTATGTTGTTTCTTCAAAAACAAAATTTTTAAGAAAAAAAGAAAACCAACTTGATATAAAAACATTCGCAAACAAAAAAAACGGTCTGAAACAAAAAAAAACATTTTGAATCAAAATAATATTCTTAAACAAAATGCATTAAAAAGTAACAAAATGAAGTCACAAACAAACACCCTCAAAAGTAATAAATTTCTCTTCTTCCTTGAAATATGTCTATTCTTTACAATAATTTTTATTCCGGAGTTGGTGTTGGCCTGATGTCTTAGACCTATTTACGTTTAATGAGAGCATGAGAGGGACGACAAGATGTTTATTGTACACTTATTTTAGCAGTGAGAACCCACCCACGGATACTAATATACACAAACACACACACACACACAAACACACACACACACACAACATAAGCATAAGCATAACAGTGGTAGAGCCAGCTTTAACATGTTCGCACGAATTGGCCCGGCTCGCCCGGTGAAATACCACGACCACACAGAAGACAGGCCTCAAGTGGAAGTAATTCCGCGTTTCGTCTGATGAGTGTGCGTCCCGGAGGCCTAATTTAGTCCTCTTTCCCTACCCACCCTTTTTCTTATAAGGAATGTATGGGAAGTGGAAGTGGACTTTCCGGATGAGAGGATGCATGGAAAGGGAATATATTTTCTTTCTCTGCATCCTCTCCTCCGTATATTAAAGGTAGGCAACGCATATGCAATTGCGTATGTCTATGGGCAACGGTCATTTCGCTATTTCAGCGATTTCAGGTGGCCGCTCGCTCGTTTTTGTCACCTTATGATATAAAAAAAGCTAAATGTGAAACGATGATGAATTGTAAGAATGTGTTTCTTGAGGCCAGTTGATATCTTATCAACAGTATATTAAGTACAAGTACAAAGTATGCTCGATATCTATTTACGAGTGTTACTATTTGTGATAAATCTTTATAGACCTCACACCGGCTACTCGGGCACGACAGACTAAAGCCGAGGTTTTTTGTGCTTATTTGATTTTTGCCATTTTGCCGAATTTAATGTGTATTTAAGGAGCAAAAGACTTAAGTGTCTACATTGACATGTAAAATTGCAGATGGAGTAACATGTCATTTGAAGACGGTAATTAATTTCACAATAATTTTAAAACAAACTATCAATAAAACAAGTATTAAATTGCCTTTTTATTGTAAATCTTCGTACAAACTACGACCTCAGCGATTAGCAGAATTTTAGAATTATTGATATAAACTTTAAGCAGATTTTGGTAGAATTAAAACGAGTAACTGGTAGAATGTTCAATTAAAATCTGGTAACACTGACCCAAAACAGACTCCCAAACCGCTAATAGTAAATAAACATAGTTTATAGGTTAAGATATAATACTAAAACACTTAATTACACACTATGTATCTCGTGTTCTTTTCTGTAACCCGAATTAAAAAATGAGGATTGATTGTATGTAACAGTTATAAAGGAAATGAAAAAATAGTTTGGTGCATTCAAACAAATATATAAATATTTAGGCTAGTATTAAGAAAGAAAATTTCAAAATGAAACTGGTAAGAACAAACTATACCTTATTAATTTGACTTAAATAAAACGAAATGCTGTCCCAAAATTACCACAGTGAAGCTGAACAGCTGCCATATATGGAATTGGAAAATCAACATTCATAAATCTGCGAATAAATCAAAGATGTGTAAGAAGGCAATTTATCGATAATGGTTCAGCGTGATTGGCTAAAACCTACTCATACCTAACTTAGGGTAGAATCTAGCCCTTAGAGTGGAGATGTATATAAACTGGCAAGGACTGATTCTGATGTATAAATAAAATTTTACTAAAAAATTAAAATAGTTATTGTTGGCACTGACTTGTTTGTTCCCTTGTCAGTAGTACATCAAAGCGGTCATGGACATTGTTGTAATCAAAACAGACTTCCACGATGTCCCAAAATTATTATTGATTAACATAATATTTGTTATAGAGAAGCTAAATTTGTGTTAAAAGATGTCCACTCTACCACCAGCTTGAGTGAGTGGTGCACTGCTAATTATCTATATGTTAGTGTTTTTAACTAATGTGATAAATTATTTGCACTCAAAAGTTTGAAATGAAATAAAGATATAGAGAGAAAAATTTACATAAATAAGAAAAGTGTGCTCTGGTGGCTGGTTTCAGTATTGCCTGAGCAGCGATGCGGCCAAGCCATGCTTCGTGCTGTCATTCAAAGAGCTGATGATAATGTTGGACTGTGGGCTGTCAGCACAGTCGGTGCTCAACTTCCTGCCGCTGCCGCCGGTGCCCAGCACACGGCTGGCTGCGCTGCCTGCTTACACACCGCCCCACCTCAATGACCCTCTGCTTGAAGGGGTACTCAACTTGTACTCCCATAGACTATGCCAATCATTAATACTATCTATCACAGCTTTTCTGTCAAATCTGCTAGTGGCTATATTTTAAATGTCACTTCTAGAACTCTGTGAGATATCTTCTAGTGTTTAATTTAGTATATCTAGTAATTAGTATTTAATATAGTATCTGTAATTGAGTAATGTACAGGAAGCTATTTGTGCACGGGTTCTGTTGTTATAAATACCCAAACATTTGACTTTGTATGTAATATACATATATTTTTGGATGTAGGAATTAAAGGAATGTTGCGGGCGGGTGTTCGTAGACAGCATCCCCGAGTTCTGTCCCCCGCTGGACAAAGTGGTGGACTTCTCGCAATTGGATGTGGTGCTCATCTCCAACTACACCTGCATGATGGCGCTGCCCTTCATCACCGAGGACACCGGCTTCAAGGGGCAGGTGTACGCCACCGAGCCCACCTTGCAGATCGGAAGGTATATACTCGGTTTTTTATTTATTTTATTTATTTATTGGAAGACCAACAGCCATTTTTACAAATTAAGTACAACAATAGTTAGTAAACATATAGCCAATTATAGGTCCTCGCCGATAGTTTAACGTTACACTGGTGCGATATGCGGTGCGATGTACGCTCGGGGGTACGCAGGTTCTACCTGGAGGAGTTGTGCACGTGGCTGTCGGCGGCGGGGGCGGGGCTGGCGGCGCGGCGCTGGAAGGAGCTGGTGCACGTGCTGCCGGGCCCGCTGGCGCACGCGTCGCGGCCGCGCGCGTGGCGGCGGCTGTACGGGCGGGCGGCGCTGGCGCGCGCGCTGGCCCGCGTGCGCGTCGTGGGGTACGACGAGCGCGTGCCGCTGTACGGCGCGCTGGACGCCACGCCCGTCAGCTCCGGCTTCTGCCTCGGCTCCGCCAACTGGGTGCTGCGCACGCCGCACGAGAAGGTCGCATCGCCCACTACCTGTCGCCCTGTTGCCCTAATGCCCTATTGCCTTCACATTATATGCACTTACTCCCATTTTAACTGTCAAATTTTACGTTCATCCGATGTTACGTAATTGCTAATTACATATTAAAATTGAATTCAGAAAAAGGCTTAAGTAGCCTATGTTTTCTTCCAGGCTATGTTCTATATCTATAGCAAATTTCGGCGAGATCCATGCAGCCGGTCCGGAGAGTGACGGTGCGCGTGCTATGCGCGTGCTGTGCGCGTGTCTGTGCGTGTGAGTGAGTGTGTGGGGGCGCAGATCGCGTACGTGAGCGGGTCGAGCACGCTGACGACGCACCCGCGGCCCATCAACCAGACGGCGCTGCGCGGCGCCGACGTGCTGCTGCTGGCCGCACTGACGCAGACGCCGGCGCACAACCCCGACCACATGCTGGGTGACCTCTGCGTGCACGCCGCCGTCACGCTGCGCGCCGCCGGCTCCGTGCTGCTGCCCGTCTACCCCTCCGGCGTGCTCTACGACCTGCTCGAGTGCCTCTCCACGCACCTGGAGGGCGCCGGGCTCGCGCACGTGCCGCTCTACGTCGTCTCGCCCGTCGCCGACTCCTCGCTCGCCTACAGCAACATCCTGGCCGAGTGGGTCTCCGCCGGCAAGCAGGCGCGCGTGCTCGTGCCCGAGGAGCCCTTCCCGCACGCCGCCCTCGCGCGCGCCGGCCGCCTGCGACACGCGCGCGCGCTGCACGACGACGCCTTCAGCGCCGACTTCCGCCAGGCACGTACTTCCTCCCTGACACGCTCACCCCCCACCTCGCACCTCGCACCTCACACCTCGCGCTCGATCTGTTGCAGCCCTGCGTCGTGTTCTGCGGACATCCCAGTCTGCGGTTCGGCGCCGCCGTGCACCTCGTCGAGCTGTGGGCCAGCAACCCCGCGCACGCCATCATATTCACCGGTACCCTGCTGCTGCCGCACCCCGCACCTCGCACCACACACCGCGCACACAACCTATATCATCGTCTTCGTTTCCCGCAGAGCCGGACTTCCCGTACATGGACGCGCTGGCGCCCTTCCAGCCGCTGAGCATGAAGGCCTTCCACTGCCCCATCGACACCTCGCTGAACTACGCGCAGGCCAACAAGCTGGTGCGCGAGCTGCGGCCGCGCGAGCTGGCGCTGCCCGAGCAGTACGCGGCGGCGCCGGCGGGTCCCGGCGCC